AGCCATATGACCGCCGACGCCGTGGTTACCATCGTGCTGCGCCGAGTGAGGTCGAGAGGTGGTGCAGAAAGTATCTTTTCCGAGTTGCTTCCGGTACCTTGCTCAGAGTCCTCGTCAATCCATTGTGGACTTGCGTCTTATGCTGTTACCATGTTCCTTGGCAAGAACCCCGCTGCTCCCACCCGTGTGACGCATTCCCCACCATCAGCTACTACAACCAGGCAAGTGCTGATTTGGCTGCTCCAGGCGAGCTCAGCGAGCTGGGGTGGTTTGCAGAGTCACCCAAGTGGCCTGAGAACTTGACCATTCCTGCCGGATTTCTTTTCGACATCCCTGACTTGCGCAATTTGCTCTCCACAGCCGAGAGGCAGCGAGTGCAAGACTTCAAGGAGACCGTGGATGAGGAGATTGTGCCCCCAGAAAACGTGTCGGTCACCGACGGCGACTGCCCCGTGCCTTTCGCGATCGGCGGCGGTTGCAAATGCAAGGAGGGCTGCGGCGGTTGCAGCAAGGCGGGCTGCACTCCGCAACCTTACTTGAACTCAGACTTCACATCGGACACGAGCCTTTCCTGCGAGGGGCCATGGCCTCCACCTATCGACTTGGTGGCCATTCACAAGACGATATGTGGGCCTAGGAGGGTTCATAAGGCTTTCGCGGAGGGCAAGACAACGCAGCGTGACGGAATCTATGTGAAATGCGAGGTGGGAACCTTGATAGGTGGTGCTTGCAGTAAGTTTTTGCCATACGATGGCGCCGAGATCCTAGCTGCGTTTCCTGACGATCGGAACACGTTCCGATGCCTCGGAACTGGCGAGTGGAGTGAGGAGCCAGTCCACTATACAGTGGCCCGTGGATGGTGTCTGGAGCTTAAGGGGAATGAGAAGGTCATCATGGTCAGGAGGGAAGGTCGTGACACTGCTTCTGTCCAATGTCCTGATGGTTATCAGGTTGTGGGAGGGGGGTGCACCTTTATCGAGGGCTTTGAGTTCACGCTTCGCGAGTCCTACCCAACATCCCGGAACACATGGGAGTGCGTCTTTGACTCGACATGGTCCTGTGGCGAAGGCAGTCCGGTGTGTCTGCGCAGTGAGGCTCGCGCTATGTGCCTGGGCATTGCAATGCACAGTAATTAAATCCAATTTTCCACGACATGCCTAACACTCCAACCTGCAGCATGTGTGGCCAACTGCTTCCTTTAGAGCAGGGATGCTGTACAGAGAATGCTGACGACTTCCCTGTATCTGCTTAGACATGCCTGACAGTAAGATGTAGCATGTTACTGGCCTACACTGGGTCTTCTCCTGTCAGGATACGTTGAAGGTGTGCCAGAAAAGCACGGAGGCATGTTCCCAAGATGACGACAGCCCATCTTGCCTTATTCCGCGAATTGAGAAACGCCTGCATTGCTATCCGCATGGAGCACTAGCCAGGAATCTCGCCCTAGTGATTAGACCCCTCTGCAGCAGCAGAGGCACCGGCGCTTCTGCGGAAAGGCTCTGCAGGTCGGCGTCCCAGGGGGAAAGACCAAGAAGTGGAGAGAGCTTCCGTCGGTGGTTTCAACGCTCTACGTGCTCAGGTTTTTCGGACTTTCCTCACTCTCCCGTGTGCTCAGGCGTTGGGAGGCAAGCTGGAGAAGGTTTGCGAGGACCTCCTGGCAGGCCGGAGGCTGAGCAAACACGAGATGACTTCCATGTCAGGCGCATGAGGATGCCCTCGATCGATTTCTTCAGGCCAGAGGGGCGGCATGTCGTAAGCTCGCAAGCTTTGTGATGCCTCGTGATCTATTGAGAGCAGATACACCAGCAGAGGGGCTATTGCCTTCGTTTGGCGTGTGCTTGTACAGCACAGAAAAATGCTGTGCCATGTTACGGGGCGGGGGACTTTTCTTTAGATGCCAAGCTCCCAAGCTCCTGGGCCTCCCGGCCTGCCAGAGCCGCAAGGAGCTGGATGGCAGCGTGGCGAGCTCTTCAGCGCAGATTCGCCGCAAGCTTAGCAGGACGATGCAGGATGCTTGGGTCAGATCCCTGCACTGGCAGTTCTGGGATGAGGTGACGGATTGCGTGACTTTGAGCAGCTGCACTTCCTTCCTGGAAGCTCCCGGGTGGCAGGCGGTTCCCGCGCCAAGCTGAAGCCAGGCTCAAGCGGGGCCACCCTCGTTTGGGAGGTCCCCTGGCTGAGAGCGCCGTGCCAAGCGCGGCCGTGACCGAGGTGGCCCCTTGGGAGGTTCCCTTTGAGGCGTCTTGGCCACCGCTGCAAACACAACACGGTGCAGGAGGTGCCTTCCTCCGACGGCCAAGCGGAAGGCTCCGGCATGCTCCAGCTGAGCTGCAGTGTAGAGAGGACCAACTAAGTTTCCATCTTGGCCAGGAAAACAACGCTGGGCGGTTGCGAGACAGAAAGCACTGAGCCTGCTGCCTACTTGGTTCCGCAGGGGTGGTTAGAGCAAGTGGGGTTGCCCTGAAGAATTCGCCTTTTGCACACTGCGGACCCCGAAAGCTTCGGTAGCGTCATCGCCACCCCAGGTCGCGGAGAAGAGGTGCGGCTCCTGATTTGGCAAAGGTTTACAGAGCCCCCGTGTGGCTCTTCTCGCCGAGGTCGACTGTCCCATCTGCTTCCAAGCCTGCGACTTGCTCGGCCGTGGGAGCAAGGCGCCTAAAGACCGCAAGGCTTCTGCAGGTAGGTCTTAGGTGGATATCATCGGGTGGCTCCTGCCGAAGAACCAAGGCGATCGGGTGGAACTTCTTTCTTGTTCTCATGAGGGCATCTCAGCTTCTGCTCTTCTTTTGGCATTGGCCGGCATTTGTCCAAAGCTTCAGGTGTTTCACCGCTGCTGCCTGATGTCCTTCGAGTCCTTTCATGTCTTCGAGGCCAACAGCATGCGCTCGTCTCCGAAACTCGGGAATCATTCGGATTTTACACGTTCCGCTCAGGTTCACCTCTGTCGCAACCCCAGCCCTCACGCAGAGTTTTCTGAAGACTCAGTCCCAGAAATCCTGAGGTCCAGTCTGCAGGCAGTCCTACGAACGCCGACCATGGAACTTTCAAGAGGCCAGTATGACTTCGGACTCACCCTCCAGACCCGAAACTTTAAACCCTACACCCTAGAAGCCCTAGACCCCAAAATCCCAAGCCCTAGAAAAACTCCTATACACTCTAAAGCCGCCTAAGCCCTAGAGGGCCATGTGGGGCTTTCCGAAAATAGGGGATCCCAAAACAGTACCGTAAATAGTAGGATCCTTATTATAAGGACCCCAAAATAAGGTACCCCAATTTTCGGAAAGTCCCATGTGAGCCTGGCCAGGGCGACAGACCGCCCCGCCCCCCGGGTCGCCCACGCGGCGTGGCGAAGGCAAAGCCCGCTCAAGACATGAACCGTCGCTGCCCTGGCTCTTAAGGTAGGTTGACATACAAGACTTGTTTGTATCTGTATATTCACATGCCTACATATATATATATATACGTGTATATGTATACATATATGTATATATGTACACACATATATATATATATATGTATATATACACATACATATACGCATCCACAGACCCAGACGCAGACACAGACACAGACACATGCACAGACACAGACACAGCCACATGCACATACACATACACATACACATACATGTACATGTACATGTACATGTACATATACATATATATACACATACATACATACACACATACGAAATCATACATCGCCGCACGAAGGCTTCGACATAGGCCCTTGTTGAACATGCACATACGCTGCAGAGCAGCAGCAGAGAGGACGAACGTCTTCTGTAGTTGGCCAGCATGGCGGAGTTGTCATTTCCCGAGGTAAAACTAGACTGTTATATCGTGTTCCGGCGGAGAGGCGTTGCGGGATCTTGTGTGAGGAGTCTGCAAAGGAAAAGCCCGACATGTTAAGATACAGGTCGTGTGGCGAAGTGTTGTCTTGCGGTAGTACACGCATATGTGTATGTATATGTAGACGCAGATGTAGATGTATATGCACATGTCTGTGTATATGTATATGTGACTGTGCATGTATATGTGTATACGTATATGTCCCGTTCTGATCCCCAGACCGTCCTGATCCATTCAAGTGAGCTGCTGCGTCCTCGTACCTCGCATGTATGTGTTTCTGTGTATGAACAAGTAGATGTAGATGTAGATGTATATGTATATGTAGATGCAGATGTAGATATATGTACATGTACATGTCTATGTGGATACATCTATATATATATATATGTATATATATATACATACACGTACACATATGCATGTAGATTGGTGGAACTGTTGAAACAGCACTTTATTGTGGGATTTGCCGAGGTGGAAATCGCCAGGTGGCACGCCGTGGGGTCTCTGAATCCAGGTGAGGATGCTGCGTGCTTCTGGTCTGTAAGACAAGTTTGTTCTCATCCTGCATGCGTGGCACATGCCAGGTTTCTTGATTACAGAGTCCTCCACGCATGAGCCGTTAAGCCGGCACCCTGCAAAGTAGCCGGGCCAAAGAGCATCGGCAAAACAGGGTTGGCCGCAAGTGCATGTGAAAAAGGGGAATAAGCTCAGCCCGTGTTGCGGAGTTGAGGATGCTGCATGTTGCTTTGAGAGAGCTTGGCAGTTCTACAACCTGGTGCACTTGAAGTGCCTGAAATTGGGCGACTGCTCGCAAGCCCTCGGCTTCTGGAAGGCTTACCATGCCCAAGCTGTCATTTGATCGCTCAGTGTGTGGATCCCGGGTGCATTGCCAGGACTGCCGAGCTGCGGGCATCTCGTCATGCAACGCTCTGCTGGCAACGTGCGAAGTGGCAAGCATCCGAGTTGCTCCAGCCGGCTTCTTGTGGTTGTTTGTTCGTTCATGTTAGCTGCACCCACGCTGCTGACACGGACGGCATCAATAACAGGAGCATGTTTGAGGATCGGATTGAAGGCACCGTCGTGAATAAGGATGTGTCGCGTATTTCTGTTGCGCCGACCGTTACCATCCAAAACTGTGGGCTGATGCATAAGACCGATAGCAAGAAAGCTCCCGTGCCAATGTGACGGTATTAGTCAACTAGCTGCAGTTCTATGCAATAGCACAGGCTGTCTTTGCAACTTCGAGTGTCAATTGGTTTTGATTGCTTGACCTCAGGCGATGGACTGGGATGAGTGGGTGGATGGTTGTGGCAAGCTCGGGTCTCACTGGAGCAGATATTTGTAACTTTTGTTCGTAGAAACATATGGACAAATCAATGGACTCTGCCATTGCCGCTGTTACTACTACTGCTGCTACTACTACCACCACCACCACCACCACTACTTCTACTACTACTACTACTACTACTACTACTAACTACTACTACTACTACTACTGCTACTGCTACTGCTACTGCTACTGCTACTGCTACTGCTACTGCTACTGCTACTGCTACTGCT